GATTTTGCCTCAGGTCATGATCTCATGGTTCATGAGATTGAGCCCCACAATGAGCTCTGTGCTAACAGCTTGGAGGCTGCCTGGAATTCTCTCTTTCCCTCTCTTTCTTTCCCCCTCCTTCGCTTATGTGTGCTCTTTCTCTCTCAAAATAAGCATTTTAATTTTTTTTTTTTTAACGTTTATTTATTTTTTGGGACAGAGAGAGACAGAGCATGAACGGGGGAGGGGCAGAGAGAGAGGGAGGCACAGAATCGGAAACAGGCTCCAGGCTCTGAGCCATCAGCCCAGAGCCCGACGCGGGGCTCGAACTCACGGACCGCGAGATCGTGACCTGGCTGAAGTCGGACGCTTAACCGACTGCGCCACCCAGGCGCCCCAAAATAAGCATTTTAAAAAATGTTTAAAAAGACTTGAAACCAATTCTTTTGGACATTCTCTGACCACAATGGAATCAAACTAGAAATCAGTAACAGAAGGCAGGAAAATCTCCAAACACTTAGAAACTAAACAACACTCTTCTAAATAAACTGTGGGTCAAAGAGGAAACCTTAAGGGAAATTAGAAAATTACATTAAGTTGAATGAAAATACAACATATCAAAATTTGTGGGACACAGCTAAAGCAGTGCTATGGGGAACTTTTTAGCACTAAGTGAATACATTAGAAAGAAAGAAGAGTCCCAAATCAATAATCTAATTAAGCTTCCACTTCAAGAACCGAAGGGGAAAAAAAGCAATATAAACAAAGCAAGCAGGAGGAAGAAAGTATTAAAGAGCAAAAATTTAAAAATGAACCTTATACGAAGATCAATTCAAAAAGGATCACAGACTTAAACATTAAAAGTATAAAACTTGTAGGAAGAAACATAGGACAAAATCTTTAGGTTCGAGGTTGAGGTAGAGTACTTAGGCCTGATACCAAAAACATAATCCATAAAAGGAAAACTGAAAACTTGGGCTTCATTAAAAGTAAAGTATTTGGTTGTGAAAGTCCACATTTAAAGGTTGAAAAGACAAGACATAGTCTAGGAGAAAATATTTGTAAACCACATATCCAAAAAAGGGCTAGTATGTAGAATGGATACGTAGATTAGCTTGAATGTGGTGACATTTCATAGTGTATGCATATGCCAAGCCGTCATTTTAATATTCAGTTACACCTCAATAAAAATGGGGGTGGAGGACAGAATGAAAAGGTCTCATATAGCTCTCATTGGAGTGTCAAAAGGAAACAACAAATGAAAAAAGGCAGTATCTAAAGAGATCATGAATGCAAAGTTTCCAGAATTGAAGAAAACTATGAGTCCACACATCTAGGAAGCACAGTACATCCTAGGTGAGATGAATGAGACAAAAAAGATGCATACTTAAATATATTATTAAAAACAGCAACAAGAACAACTTGAGAATACAAAAGACAAAATTAAAAGCACCTAAGCTAAAAGCATTAAAAACAGAGTACCTACAAAATTATTGCAGTTAGAAAACAGCAGACCTCCCAACAGCAACAACGGAAGCCAGAGACAGAATCATATCTTTATCATGTTTTTAAATTTAATTTAATTTTTTAAATTTACATCCAAATTAGCATACAGTGCAACAATGATTTCAGAAATAGATTCCTTAGTGCCCCTTACCCATTTAGCCCATCCCCCCTCCCACACCCCCTCCAGTAACCCTCACTTTTTTCTCCATATTTATGAGTCTCTTCTGTTTTGTCCCCCTCCCTGTTTTTATATTATTTTTGTTTCCCTTCCCTTATGTTCATCTGTTTTGTCTCTTAAAGTCCTCCTATGAGTGAAGTCCTATGATTTTTGTCTTTCTCTGACTAATTTCACTTAGCATAATACCCTCCAGTTCCATCCACGTAGTTGCAAATAGCAAGATTTCATTTTTTTTTTTTTACATTTATTTATTTTTGAGAAACAGAGTGAGACAAAGCATGAGCAGGGGAGGGACAGAGAGAGAAGGAGACACAGAATCTGAAGCAGGCTTCAGGCTCTGAGGAAGCACAAAGCCTGATGCGGGGCTCGAACCCACAAACCATGAGCTCATGACCTGAGCTGAAGTCGGGTGCTCAACCAACTGAGTCACCCAGGCGCCCCGATTTCATTCTTTTTGATTGCCAAGTAATACTCCGTTGTATATATATACCACATCTTCTTTATCCATTCATCCATTGTTGGACATCTGGGCTCTTTCCATACTTTGGCTATTGTTGATAGTGCTGCTATAAACACTGGGGTGCATGTGTCCCTCCAAAACAGCACACCTGTATCCCTTGGATAAATACCTAGTAGTGCAGTTGCTGGGTCGTAGGGTAGTTCTATTTTTAGTTTTTTGAAGAACCTCCATACTCTTTTCCAGAGTGGCTGCACCAGCTTGCATTCCCACAGAATCATATCTTTAAAGAGTTGAGGGTTAAAGCCCATAACTGGGCATCTAGGAAGTGAGTCTTTCAAGAATGATGATAAAATATTTACAGATTAAAACAAGAGTTTACTACCAAGAGATATCGTTAAATGAACCTCAAAAGGATACACTTCAGGAAGAATGAAAATGATCCCAGAGGGACAATCTAGTGTGCAACAAAGAGTGGTGAACACAACAATGGTAAACATGTATGTGAATAAAAACTAACTTTACAGAAGCATTAATTAACATAATACCATCTAATTGGCAGTATTAAAAGGAAAAAACAAGTGGACTTCCACTCTAACCATGATGGAGTATTAAGGACCAGATTTACCTTTGTTGCCTTTAACAAATGAAAAACTAGAAAAAATAAATAAAGCAACATTTAAAAACAGGCGAAGCAGGAGAATAATCCCTGAGAGAAGGAGAAAAGGGAAGCCTTGTGGTTGCCCTAGAGTACTTCCAGTAGAGACTTTTGCAAGCCACAGCACAGGAAAGGGTAAACTAAATAGTCTCCCATGAACTGAAAAGAGCTGACAATTCAGGAAGGCCAAAGTGGCTAGAATTCCAAGCAATTATACATTTGATAGAATTCATACAGAGAGATCACATGTACCATTTTTCCAACTTTCCCCAATTCTAACATCTTGCAAACCCCATAATAGAATACCACAATACCCAGGTATTGACACTGATAATAGTGAAGATACTGAACATTTGCATCATGCAAGGATCACTAATGTTGCATTTTTAGAACCACACCCACTCTTCTCTGTTACCATTACCTCTTCCATACCTGCAACCACTAATCTGTTCTCTATTTCTAAAATATTGTCATTTTAGAAATGTTATATAGGTGGGATTATACAGAATGTAATCTTTTAGGATTGGATTTTTTTTTTCCATTCAGCATGATTCTCAGGATACTCATCCAGGTTGTTGTGTATAGCAATAGTTCTTTTTCTTTTCTATTATTTTCCTTCTTTCTTTTTTATATCTGAATAGCTTTCCATGATATGGATCAGCTTCAGTTAGTTTACTCTTTGAGGGAATCTGGGTTGTTTTTGGGCCTTGGCTGTTACAAATACAGCTGTTACAAATATTTGTTTACAAGTTTTTATGTAAACATGGTTTACATTTCTGTTGAGGAAACACCCAAAGAGCCTTAATTGCTGGGTCATATGGTAGTTACATGTTTAGTTGTGGGTTTTTTTTTAATATATAAAGTTGATTCATTTTAAGAGAGAGAGAAAGAGTGCACATGTGTGAGAGAGAGCGGGGGAGGGACAGAGAGGAAAAGAGAGAATCTGAAGCAGGCTCCATGCTGTCAATGCAGACCCCAACATGGGGCTCGAACCCACAAACCATGAAATCATGACCTGAGCCAAAAACCAAGAGTTGGGTGCTTAACTGACTGAGCCACCCAAGTGCCCCACCATGTTTAGTTTTTAAGAAATCACCAAACTTATGGTAATAGCAATGGCTGTACTATTTTACTTTACCAGTAGCAATATATTAGTGATTCAGTTTCTCTGCATTCTTGCCAGCATTTGGTATTGTTACTCTTTTTCATTTTAGCCATTCTAAAGTGAAATGATAGTAGTGATAGCTCACTGAGGTTTTAATCTGCATATCTCTCATGGCTAATGATGTTGAACATCCTTTCATGTGTGCTTATTTGGCATGTGTATATCCTCAGTTAAATGTACCCTTGTCTCTTATGCATGTTTTCTAATGGGATTGGTTTTTTTTTTTAATTTTTTGAGCTTTGAGAGTTCTGTTTGTAATTTAAAAATTTACTTTAACAAAATTCCTCCAAAATTACAAAAGTAACACTCATTCTACTGTTGAAAACATTATAAAGAAATAAATATTATCCCATATATTCTTCCTTTCCCCACCAGTCTTGAATTTCACCTTCTTTTTCTGCACCCTCTGCAGTATTGGATGCTAATTACATTTTGTCAATTAGATGGGTAAAACATGCTTTCTTAACTGTTGCTTCAATTTGTATTTCTTTGAAAACTAATAAGGTTAAGTGTGTTTGTGCATGCGTGCATGTGCTTGTATGTGTATGTATTCACGTAAGTAGCTTCCTCCTCCCATCTAAAGTTTCACTTTTCACTGTTTCAGTTATCTGTGGTCAACCACATCTGCCTGGAAGCAGATGATCCTCCTGACATACCATGAAAAAGTCAATCAATAGTAGCCTAGTGCTTTGTCATAGTACTTATGTCATTCACTTCACTTCATCTCATCACACAGGCATTTATCATGTCACATCACAAGAAGGCGGCTATCATAGTACAGTAATATATTGAGAGAAACCATATTTACGATTTTATACTGTATGTTATTATAATTGTTCTATTTTATTATTAGTTATTATTGTTAATCTCTAACTATGCCTAATTTGTAAGTTAAACTTTACCATAGGTATATATGTATAGGAAAAACATAGCACATATAGAGTTTGCACTTTGAGGCATCCCCTGAGGGTCTTGGAATGTATGTCCCATGGACAAGGGGGTGACTACTACTTGTAAATAAGCAATTCTGTGAATATAATGAAAGCACATCCAGGGAGTTAAGACCAGCATATATTCTTTACTGTAATTTCCAAATTATGATATTTCTAAGTCTAGAAATTAAATGTGGAAAAACAGGAATGGAAATGTGACATCTTACTGGTAAAATCTGAAGAGAGTTGGGCTTCTATTCACGAGCTGTATTTTCATTGTCCTTTTATTGATGCTGATAGAGATCTCTGTTTCTCTTTGGTGAACCTTCAGGTTGAATCTTCTTTGTCAGAGGTGGAAATCAAAAGATATAATGTTTTGGATACTCTTGTGCTTTATCAATTTATTTCCTAGCAAATCTATCCTTCCTTGACTTGCTTTGCAGTATTGGAGCTGAGCCATGTAAACATTCCCTACTGACAGCTGGGCTAGTGTTAAGCTTTTTACTAGATGGGAGTGGAGAGACACTGCATGAAAGTGGGGCTTTTCTTCCTGGTTCTGAAACACTTTTCAATTCTTACTCGGATGATGAACCATAGCCAGCAGGATACATGTGGGATACACAATCTCTTGTGAGTTCTGATAGCACTCACAGGCGGCTGGGCTATCCAGTGGCATTCATCATTCTGAGAGCTTCACTGGCACCCTCCCATGCCCCTCCTTCCTTTCAGGAGGCTTCCTTGCACATTTGACAGCACCTTCTGTCTTCTTGAATACGTGACGTTTTATTTAGAGTAGCCTATTTGACAACCTTTTCCATGAATTCTATCGGCTGTATAATTTCTTGGAATTCTAGCCACTTCGGCCTTCCTGAATTCTCAACTCTTATCTTTTCAGTTCAGGAAGACTGTTTACTTTACCCTTTCCTCTGCTGTGGCTTGCAAAAGTCTCTACAGGAAGTACACTAGGACAGTCGCAGGACTTCCCTCCTTTTCTCCTTCTCTCAGGGATTTTTCCCCTGCTTTGCCTGTTTTCAAATGTTTTTTTACTTATTTTTTCCTGTTTTTCATTTGTTGAATGAAGCAGCAAAGGTAAATCTGGTCCTTGTGACTCCATCATGGTTGGAGTGGAAGTCCATTTCCGTGTTTTCCTTTTGATACTGCCAATTAGATAGTATTGTGTTAATTAATATTTTCCAAAAGTTAGTTTTTTTTTTTTTTTAATTTTTTTTTTCAACATTTATTTATTTTTGGGACAGAGAGAGACAGAGCATGAACGGGGGAGGGGCAGAGAGAGAGGGAGACACAGAATCGGAAACAGGCTCCAGGCTCTGAGCCATCAGCCCGGAGCCCGATACGGGGCTCGAACTCACGGACCGCGAGATCGTGACCTGGCTGAAGTCGGACGCTTAACCGACTGCGCCACCCAGGCGCCCCAAAAAGTTAGTTTTTATTCACATACGTGTTTACCATTGTCTGTGCTCACCATTCTTTGTTGCGCATTAAATTGTCCTTCTGGGATCATTTTCATTTTTCCTGAGGCATATTCTTTTGAGGTTCATTTAATGATGTCTCTTGGTAGTGAACTCTTGTTTTAATTTGTAATTATTTTATCATCATTCTTGGCTCATTTCCTAGATGCCCAGTTCTGCATTTTTAACCTCAACCCTTTAAATATATTATTCTGGGGGGAGCCTGGGTGACTTAGTCGGTTAAGCATCCCACTTCAGCTCAGGTCATGATCTCACAGTTGGTGAGTTTGAGCTCTTCATCAGGCTCTGTGCTGACAGTGCAGAGCCTGCTTTGGATCTTCCTTCCCCCCCCTCTCTCTGCCCTTCACCTGTTTGCACACTCTCTTCCTCTCAAAAATAAACATTAAAAAAAATAATAAAGATATGATTCTGCTAACTCCTGGCTTCTAGTTGTTGCTGTTGAGAAGTCTGCTTCCTTAAATCTTGGTATTTTGGAGCTGGACCAAGTTCCTCATGCTAAAGCTCATGCCAAAAATTAGGAAATTCCAGCTCAGAACTGCCCCTAGGTCACTGGCAGTTTGGGACTGGACTCCACACTGGATGCTCTGACTTTCAGGCCTAAGTGAGCCCAGTTTCTTAACCAAATGTGAGCAACTTTGGCCCGGAAAGGAAGGGAGTTCTCTTGTTTCCCTCATCTGTGAATTAGGTCAAAACCAGCCCCTTCCTATGCAGCTCTGGGGGTTACATAGGTGTGGCCCAGCCCAGGGATGCCACTCAGTAGTAGGAATATAATAATGGGAAGTGGAAGGAGGGCTAGAATTTTGAGAGTTCCCAGACTCTATGTCACTTCTCTTCCCCAAATCCCCTGGTTTACTAGGGAAGTGGTTATAGTGAGTGTTCAACTCTAGTATGAAAACCCACCCTGATTTTATTTTTTCCCCTTCAGAATAGCCCTGAATTTCTCTTTTTCTCTGTCCAACTTTTACCTACATAACAATTCCAGGCCTTTCTGAGGCCTGGTTTTACTGTCATGGCTTCCTAGCCCAGCACCTGGATTTAGCTTCTTTCTAATCCACCTAATATGCCACTGCCTGACTTATCCTAAATGCCAAAGTCATCACACTGCTTCCTGCTTAAATACTTGCTGTCATTTTCCAGCATCTGGCTCTTGACCTGTATTTAACTGAGACTGACTTTTCCTGTTTCTGGCCCTGTAGCATTGAGTATCTGGCAGGTCGATAACTGCATTGTTCCAATTATGATGTGTGTCTTAGAAGGAAATTGGTGATCCTCGAAGACAAGGATGTGTCTGTTTTGTGTCTGTTTTGGATTTTTTTTTTTTTTTTTTTTTTTTTTGAGACAGAGAGAGACAGAACATGAACGGGGGAGGGTCAGAGAGAGGGAGACACAGAATCTGAAACAGGCTCCAGGCTCTGAGCTGTCAGCACAGAGCCCGACGCGGGGCTCAAACTCACGGACAGCGAAATCATGACCTGAGCCAAAGTCGGACGCTTAACCGACTGAGCCACCCAGGCGCCCCTTTGGCTTCTGCTTTTTAAGATCTTTTAAAGCTGTGTGTCCTTCCTTTTCAGCCTCACACATGGCAGCCATTATTTCCTCCAGCTAAAGCCTGATTTACTTAATTTAAGTTAGTGTTACATTATTTTCATTTTAGCAGAATAAAGCAAAATCTAGACTTATAGTTAAAACATTTTTCATTTAGCATGACATCTTGAAAGTTGAGTTATAAGTTATTTTCCCAGAAGAAACCATTTTAGAACAAGCTGTTTTAGAAGAAAATGTAGGAAAATATCTTTATAACTTTGGAGGTAAAGAAGCATTAAACCACACACAAAAAGCACAATTATTATAATGACCTGCTATACTGCTATACCTGTTCCACCAAATTCCTTGGAACTCATAGAACTGGATCTCCAATATGAAAACAATGATGATGACAATACACTTATTTCCTATAACAAGTGGTAAAAAGGAATCTGAGGCTTAAAGAGATGAAGCAGTTCCACCCCCCAAGTCCTCAAATGTCCAAAGGGAAAGAGCTGGGTTTGAAACCCGCTGGGTCCACAAATGCTTACCTTCACCACCTTTAGCACCCTGAAGTCTTGGTCTAAACCTTGGTCATTGTGGAGGCACTGATCCTGCAGGAACCACTTGATTCCCTGCCGGGTATCCTATACTTCCTCCTTCCAGTACCCTTCAGTGGGGCTGAGGGCTCTACCCCGGGAGGGTATCCAGCATGTCTGCAGGGGTCTCACCCATGTTCTGGGAAGGTTCCATTTCTGCAGGAATCATGAATATATATTTAAATTGAATAAATTTAATTTATTCAGGGCACCCCTTGAATAAATCCTCTCTGCTTCTGCCCACTCTTTTGAAGAAGGCACCGTCTAGCCTTTCTCCAGAAAACTAGAAGACTAGAGCTGGGGAGGGAGAGCATGTAAAGGTAGAGAGGGATTTATCCTCCTCCCCCTAGGATGAAGGGGCACCTTCCCTGCAGCACATTGTTCCCATGCCCTGGGCTGCCTTATGCTCAGTAGCCAGCCTCCCACAGTTCTCCCTGCTCTCTCGACACTTGCAAATTGTAATTCAGCTTGTAGAGGTGGTATTTTCTCTTTCTGTTTGAGGCGGACAAGAACAATGACTGGGAGATGGGGGATTCCCGTGGGCCTCAGACTCAGCCTAGGAATTTTCAAGTGTCCTGGAGCTGGCCTCTTCCCTTTCCCCATTTCCTACTGCATGAAGAGGAGACCTTGATCCCTACAAGAGGTAAATAACATCTACTCCTAGGGTGTGGAGGTGCTTCCTGCCTGGAGTGAAGGGATGCAGAGGCTTGGGCTAAGCTGGAGGGTCTGGGGCCAGAAAACAATTTCTTAAAACAAACAAACAAACAAACAAACAAAAGGCACCTACAATTTTTATTGCTTGTTTTGTTCCTTATTATATGACTAATCCATGTTCATGGTAGAAAAATTAGAAAATGGAGATGTGCAGAGGTGCCTGGGTGGCTCAGTCAGTTGAGCATCTGACTCTGGATTTCGGCTCATGATCTCATGGTTTGTGAGATTGAGCCCCACATCAGGATCTGTGCTGACAGTGCAGAGCCTGCTCGGGATTCTCTCTCTCCCCCTCTCTCTGACTCTCCTCTGCTTGTGCTCTTGCTCTCTCTCTCTCTCTCAAAATAAATAAACATTAAAAAAAAAAAAAAAAGAAAGTACAGATGTACAGAATGAAGAAAATAAGAACCATCCATATAATCCCATCACCAAGGGATCCTGATCATTTATATTTGGGTGTATGTCCTTTCATTCTTATTACTAGGTGAGTCCTCCCTACCCCATTACCCCATAGCAAAAAGTGAGGAGTCTTACATGTGAGTTCTTAAAAAGTCTTTCATGGGAGAGGGTGCAGTTATCTGAAGGACTTTAAAGATAATAGGACAGTTTGGAGAAGATTCATTGACCTTAAAGGATTTCCATTCATTTGAGCTTTGGAGGCCTAAAGAGGTCTCCCTATGAAATCAGTCAAACAGGGGCGCCTGGGCGTCTCAGTCGGTTTGAGTGTTTGAGTCTTGATTTCAGCTCAGGTCATGATCCCAGGGTCGTGGAATTGAGCCCTGGGTCTGGCTCTGCACTGAGCATACAGCCTGCTTAAGATTCCCCTTCTCTCTCCTCTGCCCCTCTCCCCACCAACCCCCCCACCCACTCTCTCTAAAAGAAGGAGGAGGAGGAAGAGAAATTAGTCAAACAAGTGGCAGAGAAACTTAGTTCAGATTTGGCAGTTATTCCTGGGAAGATGACTGTACATTTGCATAGACAGGATAGCATTGCACACAAGTATTTTAACAATTATTTAAATAGGAAATCCTATTTTGATATTGTGAAGATAAGAAATATACACCTACAGGGGTGCCTGGCTGGCTCATTTGGGGGAGCATGCAACTCTTGATCTTGGGGTCATGAGTTAGAGCCCCACATTGAGTGTAGACATTACTTATCTACAGGATAAATAGAAATATATACGTATCTACAGGATAAATAGAAAAATGTATTAATGTCACATGAATGCATGCAATGAATGCATCATTGTCAATAATGTTCAGATTCCACTTCTTATTCTACTTAGAAGAGAAAATGATGGACCCTGGAAAACTGGCTTACAAACCTCAAAAACAGCTTTGGGGGAGGTGCCTGGGTGGCTCAATTGGTTAAGTGTCTGCCTTTAGCTCAGGTCATGATCTTGTGAGTTTGAGCCCCCTGTCGGGCTCTGTGCTGACAGCTCCAAGCCTGGAGCCTGTTTCAGATTCTGTCTCCATCTCTCTGCCCCTCCCCCACTCGTGCATGCATGTGCACTCTCTCTCAAATATAAATAAACATTTAAAAATTATCAAAAAATTGCTTTGGGGATGAGAAAAACACTGCTACTTGTAGAGTTAAAAATCTTTTTTCAAAACATGAAATTGGAGAAGACCAAAATTTATATATTATTCATTCAATTTAAATATATAATTCATCTAAACTAATACATATTATAAGTACATATTTCATTTCCCTAAAAATTTATACAATCAGGACAATCCCAACAAAATCTTCTTGGCTCACTGTGAAATATTACTGCATTGGAAAAAGTACCTTAGATTTAGGGTCACCTTGTGTTTGGGCATTCGTGGTGTCCATATTTATATTTTTTAATTGTAGCCTCTTGTACATATTCTTAAGAAACTTACTTTTAAAAATTAATATATTTTAGATATATTGTTATACTGATATATCAGTATCTAGATCTATATCTCTACCACCTACATAATATTTTTAAAGATCTGCATAGTAAAGCAAAGTTTGTACTAAAAATTATAAAACACTTGCCTTTTTGTTCTTATTCTTTTCCTTTTCCTTTTTTTTTTTTTTAAGCCACATACCTTGAAAATCCTTAACATTGTTAAGGTTTACCAGAGGTTTAGCTCTTGCCTAGCTCTGCAGCGTCATCTCTTAAAACTATCCCTTTCTGTTAGAAACGCACTAGTTTTCCCCAGAGGCTGCCCCCACCTCCAGACTCATCCGTGCTTTTCCTACTTGGTATGACTTCCTCTTCAGGAAATCTTCTCTGGCCCTTCAGATGGCTGCACCTGTTCTTCCCCTTTTCTAACTTTTCCCCTGCTCTTTTCCTGCATGCTGGGAAGTCTAACGTGTAGAGAGTATTGCTTACCCCTATATTCACCATCACTGCTGCGTGGCCTGGCATCTAGTAGGTGCTCACTAAATGTCTGCTGCATGAATGTGAATGAAAAGTTGTGAGAAAGGAATTCCCCCAACATTTGGAAACAGGGCTGATGTTCACTACCAGGCCATTCTTTTCTCCTGTTGGACATAAACAATCTCACAGACATCATATCAGACAAGGTTTCTCTGAGACCATGACAACATGAAATAAAACAAGGTCCCTCTGTGGCCCACTGAATAACAAACATCCCCCTCTCTCAGCTGACACATGGGTTTATTTTTGTTTATATTTTAATAAAGAAAATTCACATTTGACACCAATATTAAAACTTCTTATGTCTTTAAAACTGATCATAAATGATAAATCAAACAATGTGGTTTCTATAAATATACAATTTCTTTTTTAGGAAAATGGACTTTTTGCACTTCTTGTTGATGATAATGGTAACAGCAATTTCCATTCTCAAACGCTTACTGTTCCTATTCCTGGGCTTCATGCTTTACATGGCTTCTCTCATTCACCCCTCACAACTCTATGGTATGGATCCTACTGAAGTCTCCTCTACAGACAAAGAGAGGGGAGAATACTCATTTATTCTGAATAATTTTGGCAGAAAGGGTGCTTTTGGTCAAAGATGTGAGGAAAGGTAGAAGAGGCGTGGAGAAGAGGGGAAGGGAAAGCATGTTGTGTGTCCCCACAGAGCTACATGGTTGGAATTTAACCTTAGAACAGAGAGGGTCAGACCCAGGAGCTTACGGACTTGATGTCACATGGACATACAGAACTGATATATGACCCAGAGCTTTGGAGAGTGCCTTGGGTGTTCCCTGGCACAGAGCCCTCTGCTGCCCCAGCATCTTGAGCACGAGTGTTGAAGGCAACAGGAGGCAATGCTTTTAGCTTGATACAGAGACAGATGAAGCAGAACATAAAAGATGTGCCCCTAAGTCCACAGGACCCAGAAATCACCCAGGACCCAGGGAGGCCTGGGGAGGAGATGGTCCTTCTCCAAAAGCTGATAGGGATGTGGGCACCCAGGAGTCTGGGTGACTGTTAAGGGAACTTCATCTGATCTTACTTTCTGGGAAGACCTAGCACACATACAGATCATCTTCCTGGCCTCTCTTTGAACGTTTCTATGGCTTTTCAAAACTTTATCTTTCAAAATTCTCTGTGACATTTATATTCCAACCCCCGTTGCAAAAAAGAAAGAGAGGGAAGGAGAGAGAGGGAAAGAAAGAAAGAAAGAAAGAAAGAAAGAAAGAAAGAAAGAGAAAGAAAAAGAAAAACAAAATCTCACCATTTCCAATTCATAGAATTGTAGCGTGGAAGAAATGTGGAGGTGATCTGCTCAGTCCTCATTTTGCAGATCCTGGAATGAAAACAGCAGTGTTTACCAGAGTTACTTAACATTTTGGTAATAATATTAATTTCAATAGCTATAACTTGCTGGGCACTCCGCATATACTAGGCTCTTCATGGATTAGCTTCTTTAATCCCCACTGGACCCCATGATGTAAATTCTCATCCTACAAATGAGGAAATTGAATCTCAGAGAGGTTATGTGACCTACTCAGCCCCAATAGCACATAAGTGGAGTTGCTGTGATTTCTTTTATTCCAAATATCAGAGACTTAACCACTCTACCATCTCAACTGCCCATAGCAGTTGCTATTTATTGAGCTCCTACTGTGTGCTAGTCACTAGATGAAGCCTACAGACAGAGCCATTGGTGGAATTTCTCTATTCACCTACCAAATTCTTATTGAATTCATATTGTGTGCCATGTACTATGCTATGTGCTGAGGATACCACAGAGGACAACTGCTCTGGGGCAACATGGAGCCTGGTCAGATGACTTTCATCCCTCAAGCCACAACTGCTGACTGGGCTTGTGGTGGTTTACACCTCCCAGTGAGCCTGCGATTCTTCCCCCCTCTGAGCTCTCCTCTAAAGCTGAAGGAAACATGGGTAATCCTGAATAGTTTTTGACTTGTACTCACATTCTTTAGTACCATGTTTCCCAAGAGTATCCCAAGGATGTGCAAAAACAGCTGCTTTCAGTGTTCTACATTTAAAGCCAAACTCAAAGGAAGGAATGGAGGAAATGAAAGACAAAAAATTTTAAGATCTACAGAAACAAATAATGTGAGGAATAAGCTTAAGAATTCCCTGAGCTTTCACCAATGGGTTAACAAGGCTTAGGGTGGAAAGCCAGCACAGGGAGAAAGTGCCACCAGTGTAGAAGAAAGCATAGAGCGGAAAGTCACTTCCACAGGATGGAAGTGTCTGTGAACAGGTAGAAGCAGGAAGCCCCTGCAGCAGGGTAAAAATGTCCAGAGCTAATTAGCAAGAAAAATGCCTTGTTAACCCTGAGGCAGCAGGGTTAGCCCCTAGACAAGTTAAGATAAACAGACACAGTGCCTGGTGGCTGCAGTAAACAGCCATCTACTCAGCGCCGGGACTTTGATTTGTATTGACCCAAACCCCTAACACCACGTACCTTTGAAATCCCCTTTCTCTCACACACATGTATTAATGGTTAGTGTTTTATTGTCTCTTTCTGCATGTCCATCATGTTTGTAAGCCTTCTGATCCTAATAAATATGGAGCAAGGACCCTTACTTGGGGCTCTTGTCTCCTCCCGGACATTAGCCTCTCTCGTATTCAATTCTGCATCCACTCTCTTGCTGGACAAGAGGGAACTCTGACTCAAAGTCTGTGACAAAATAACAATTTGGCAAAAGTAAGTCCTTACATTAGTTTAAATGTAAATTGATTAAACTGCCAATCAAAAGATACAGATTGACAGGATGGGTTTTTAAAACTCAGGATTCAGGGGTGCCTGGGTGGCTCAGTCATTTAAAAGACTGACTCTTGGTTTTGGCTCAGGTCATGATCTCACGGTTTGTGAGACTGAGTCCTGGGTCAGGCTCCACGCTGACAGCATGGAGGCTGCATGGGATTCAGTCTCTCTCTCTCTCTCTCTCTCTCAAAATAAACTTTTAAGAAATTAAAAAATAAAAATAAAAATCAATATTCAACTATATGCCATCTATAAAAGATTGAAAATCTCTAAGGACATATATAAGTTGAAAGTGAAAGTATGGGAAAAGATATTCCAGGTAGATAGTAGCCAAGAGACAGGAGGAGTAGCTATGCTAATGTGGACTTTAGCTCAAAAATTCTTACAAGAGACAAAAAAAAAGACATTATATAATGATAAAAGGGTCAATTAAGATGACATACAATTATGAGCATATATACAACAAATATCAGAGGTCCTAAATCTATGAAGCAAACATTGATAGAACTGAAGAAATACACAGCTCTACAATAGACTTCAGTTCCCACTTTCAGTAATGATAGAAGAGCCAGATAGAAGGTCAGTAAGGAAACAGAGACATACAATTATGAGCATATATACAACAAATATCAGAGGTCCTAAATCTATGAATCAAACATTGATAGAACTGAAGAAATACACAGCTCTACAATAGTAGACTTCAGTTCCCACTTTCAGTAACGATAGAAGAGCCAGATAGAAGGTCAGTAAGGAAACAGAGGACTTGATCAACACTATAAACCAGCTGAACCTAACAGACATATACAGAATACTATTTTGCGCCAGTCTCAACCTATCAATAGTGATGTTATAAATGGCTGGAGGTACTTACCTGGGCTCAGGTTCCCTTTTTGGAACCAGTGTTGTAGTTGAACTGGCCCTTGTGGCTTCAATGCAATCACTATCAAAATTCCAGTAACATTTTTTGTAAAAATAGAAAAATCCATCCTAAAATTCATATGGAATCTTAAGGAACCCTGAATGCCCCCCAAAAAAACTCTTGAAAAAAAAGAACAAAGTTAGAGGTCTCACCCTGATTTCAAACCTACTACAAAGCTACAGTAATCAAAACAGTGTCGTACTGACATTAAGATGGACATACAGACCAGTAAAAAAGAATAAGAAGCCCAGAAAATTACCTTGCAGTAGAGTTAGTTGATTTTTGACAAGGCTGCAAGACCATTCCATGGGGGAAACAACAATCTTTTCAACAAACAATTGAAAATTGGATTTGGGGAATCTAATTTGGGATTAGGAAAATTGAACATTCACATGTGAAAGAATGAAGTTGGACCCTTACCTTACACAATATAAAACTATTAATTCAATATGGATCAAAGACCTAAGTGTAAGAGTATAAAACTATAAAATTATTAGAAGACAACATAGGGGAAGGGTTCATGACATTGAACCTGGCAATCATTTCTTGGATATGATACCAAAAGTACAAGCAATAAGAGGAAAAATAAATTATATTACATAAAAAGTTTAAACTGTGCATCAAAGGACACAATCAACAGAGTGAAAAGGCAACCCATAGAATGGGAGAAAATATTTGCAAATCATATACCTGATAAGAGGTTAATATCCAGAATATATGAAGAACTCCTACCACTCAACCACAATAACCCCAAACAACCCACTTTTAAAATGAGCAAAGGACTTGAATAGACATTTCTCTAAAGAAGATATATAAATGGTCGATAAGAATATAAAAAGATGTTCAATATCACTGACCAGGGAAATGCAAATCAAAATCACGATGAGATATACTACCTTACATCTATTAGAATGGCTACTATCAAAAAGAAAAGAAAAACAAAATAACAAGTATTGGTGAGGATATTTAGATTTTGGGATCCTTATGCACTGTTGGTAATGTAAAATGGTACAGATGCAATGGAAAACAGTATGGTGATTCTTCAAAAAATTAAAAATAGAATCACCATATTGTCCAGCCATTCCACTTCTGGGTATATATCCAAAATAACTGAAGAGAGTGTTCAAAGAAATTTTTGTACACCCATTTTCATAGCAGCATTATTTACAACAGCCAAAGGTGGAAGCAGTCCAAGTGTCTATTGCCAGGTAAATAGAACAAAATGTGGTATACACATACAATAGAATTATTCAGCCTTAAAAAGGAAGGAAATTCTGACATGTGCTACATACAACATGGGGAAAAGTTACAGACATCATGCTAAGTGAAATAAGCCAGTCACAAAAAGACAAATACTGTATAATTGCACTTAAATGAGGTATCTGTTATAGAGACTGCAACTAGAATAGAGCTTGCCAGAGATTGGGGGGAGGGCAGAATGGAGAGCTGCTGTTTAATGAGTTTAATCAGGCTTGTAGTTTCTCGTTTGTTTTTTTTATTACCTTTTCTCTTTTTTTTGGATCAGAGTTTTTAAAATTCTTTTCTTTTTCCTTCCTTCTTTTTTTCCTTTTCTTTTCCTTTCTTTTTCTTTGGAATCAGCCTTATAGTTTTTTGATTCTCTGTTTTGTTTTTTGTACCCTTTCCTTTTTTTTCTCTCTCTCTCTTTTTTTTTTTTTTTTTTTTTTTTTTTGAGATCAGGCTTTTTCTCCCTCCCCTCTTTTTACCAAGGTTACTTGAACAAACAAATCAAAGGTTTGGACCTAGTTAAAGGTCCAAACCTCCACCACAGGAAGCATGGAGGAACTCTGCAGAGGACTGACCAGTAGGAAAGAGCAGCCAAAACACAACAACAGAGTATACACAACATACACCAGAAACACTTCATGAAGTGCCAGGCCCTGGACAGGGTATGACCCCTTTTTTATGCAGCAGTACTCTCAGGTTCAGGAAACACAAAACATTTTAAAGCACACAAAATACAGAAACTTAGCCAAAATGACAGGATGGAAGAATTCTCCCCAAAAGAAAAATCAAGAGGAAATCACAGCCAGAGAATTGCTCAAAATAGACATAAGCAATATATCCGAACAATAATTTAGAACAATAGTCATTAGATTACTAACTGGGCTTGAAAAAAGCATAGAAGACACCAGAAATATCCTTGCTGCAGAGATCAAAGACCTAAGAACTAGTCAGGATGAAATAAAAGTGCTGTAACTGAGATACAAAACAAACTGGATACAGTGACAATGAGGACTGAAGAAGCAGAGGAGAGAATAGGTGATATAGAGATAAAATTATGGAAAATAATGAAGCTGAAAAATAGGGAAAGGAAATTATTAGATCATGAGGGGAGACTTAGAGAACTAAGTGATTCCATGAAACAAAACAATATCCATATCATAGGGAGTCCCAGAAGAAGAATGGGGAAAAGGGGGCAGAAGGTTTATTTGAACAAATGATAGCTGAGAACTTCTCTAATCTGGGGAAGGAAACAGGCATTCAAATCCAAGAGGCACAGGGAACTCCCCTCAAAATCAACAAAATTCAACACCATGACATATCATAGTGAAACTTGCAAAATACAAAAATAGAGAATTCTGAGAACAGCTAGGGACAAAAGGTGCTTAACCTACAAGAATGGAAC